GTTGAACATTCACTGGTGATTCACATTCTAAAGTTATTTCAATTGTCATTCGACGACGTTCTCTTACCCGCCGTGGAAGACCTTATGACGATGGGCTCTCCGTCCTCCCTCCGCCAGGACACTCTCGGAGGTGGGTGTCCCGTCGCGCGACAGCTCAAGGTCGCGTTGTCACCTTCCGCCACTGCCAAATCGGCGCTGGTGTCACCCCCGTAAACGATGTCGGGCGGCACTGCGGGGCAAACGGGTCGTACCGGTAAATTGGCAACTGCCACCTGTCCTCCCTCTTCCCCCCCCCCCCCCCTTTGCGCGAGTACTTTATGAAAGTCATTACGTAAAACCGGCACTTCGCTGGAACGTCTTTGAAAGAACGAGCATCCTCGAGGCGCGTTTACGGCGTGGGTCGAGATAGGACCGGGGGGGGGGGGGGGGAGAGATAGCGGGGGAGAGAACGGGGTCCACCTAAGTAGGATGTTTGAGACGGGGGCGAGAAAGGGGAGGTAATTTTATCGGGCAGCTCTTTTGTGTTATACTTTGGCGTACGCGCTCTTCGGCCGTTCGGTTTGTCCGTTCGGGCATAAACTCAAAAGTTTTGCATACGTAATGTTCCCCGTGCACCATTCCTCGCGTATCGATTTGCGTCCGCTCCTTAAGCAGACGTTTAAGTAACATTAATGTTATGCATTACTTTTTAGATGGAGTTTGCGACGTCGTCTTTGATGCTCGAGGAGCATAATTAAAATTGATATTTTTCGGGCGGGGGTGTACGGGGGCGCGGCGAGAAATGAAAGGGCATACAATTCGTTAACGAAATAATTATCGCTAGGATTAATATTGTAAAGAATTTTCGGAACAACGCAGAGATACAGGGGGCGAGTTCGCGTATTAAATTCCTGGCGATCTTAAATTTTCAACATCAATTATGTTCCGTAATGCGCGTAATTAAATTGGCTCAGTATTGTACCGTAGCGAAGGTAACTCCTCACGTATCGCGAAACTTTTCGGAACGGATTCGAATCGGGGTTGTTTAGTTATTTCCTAGATTTCTATTGTGTTTTCCGGGGGAAAAAACGGAACAATTCCGATCGAAATCCGAAAAAGTTCCGCGCGTGTCCATGGCACGACAAATAAATATCGGTCGTTAGTTGTCCAGAGTTATGTTTCATACACGGAGAGGACAGCGTGGCATTTTGAACAACTTTACTAGGAAAATGTGTACCACATATAATTAAGTACCAGTGATGCGGTGAAATCAAGTTCTTCGAAGTGCCGCGTTGTCCCACGAACATATAATTTTCAGGATAAATTTCAAAAGAAAATTCTCCCCCCCCCCGAGTATTATTAACGCGTCGGACCGATGAAATATATAGACGACGAGTATAAAGGTTGAAACGTTACTATTGTAATCGTCCCGCCAACCACGGCCCTCGCTCTCGATATCTGAATCCGCGTGTTAAAACAAAGGCAATCGCCCATGGTTAACGCGCGCTCGGTACCACAGTTAAGGACAATGCGCATTCGCGAAAGTTGGCGAGTATCGCGCGAGTCCGGGCTCAGAGTTGCACTTAACTGGGATTTACAATCGCGGGCCGAAGTGTATTATACGCAAGATTTGCGCCGCCGCCGCCGCCGCCGCCGCGAGGGCCAGGATGCGGCCGTGACGGAGGAGATAAGAGACAAACACTTACCGTGTATGTCGAGGCAACCGAGCTGGGATATCATCGGGCTAGTGTTGATCTGGCACATGTAACAATCCCTGTCGGTCTCCTTCAGCTGGCGAATATGCAGGCGCCACGTGCCGTCGACGATTTCCTCCGTGGCCTGGCTACTTCCGGTCACCCCCGAGGCACCGCCGGACGCGCCGGCGGACCCGGAGCTCGCCCCGCTTTCGTAGGTGACCGTGATGCGCGCATTATGCGTCACGATCCTGGTGTGAATCGAGAGAATCGTCTGGTCCGAGGTGCGCAGCCAGCCAACCTGGAAAGCCCGCCCCGCTACGTGACGCAACGCGAATGCAGCTGTCATTCTCTCGAATGGGGTATCGATCGAGCGTGAATGACGGTATTTCCTTATGTTCTGTAAGACGATCTCCCCCTCTCCCCCCAGCCAAAGATACACGGGAGAGAAATTGCGGGCAATAGTCGCGCGGAAACTAGTCGCGGAGTAATTACAAGAAAGTATAAATTAAACTTGGAGTAAGACGACGCGACGTGAAAAAAGAAGTTGAGGGAGGAAGAGGGGGCGGAAAAAAGATTGCGCAACAAAAATAAAACAAAGTTATGTGAATTAACTCTACCTTGGACAGTGAAATAATATTTATGTATTTCAGATTTCAAATGTGCGCGCTGAGAGAGAGAGGGAGGGAGAGAGAGAGATTCGTACGCGCTGATAGCGATAAGTTTTAATTAACGTTAACAGAAATAATACATAAAAAAAACGCAGTACGGCGTAATGGCAAGCGCAAAACGATCGGAGGGATTTGAGCAAGATGTTTGCGAGTGATTACGGAAATGTATTCGTGAATATAGATCGGCGTTTCCCCGGACAAAAAGGAACGAAACACAAAAGAAAATAATATTCCGCGAGCGCGATTCTCCCTCGGACAATCGATGGGTATTGTATGGGACGGCGTGAAACGGTTACGCGGTATCATGGGTAAGCGTGCGCGAATAGCGCGAGAGATTTGGTGGTAAATACCAGTCTTAACTTAGACTTAGCATCGGGGGCCATCGGGCTTATCTTAATTCAGCCCCGTCCGCCCGGAGTATGGCCGTTTTCCTCTTAGAGACGGTACATTATCTCTTATTACTATTAAGAGCGCTTCGCGGATCAAGTCTGTCGACACCGGTGACACTCGCTTCGTTAAACGACTCTCCGTCCGTCTCACTTTGTTACATTTTCCGGGAAATATATTCCGATGGCGGGATTAATCGCTAGATGTAGTCCGGTGTTATCGGGAGAGAGGATGACCTCGGCGGATTAGCGGATACCGTGAAGCCTGTATAAGGAGACCGAACTAGGCTTGATTACGTCACCGAACATGGGCCGACATTAGGCTTGTTTCCTGTTGCTACAATGGCGAACTAGTGCAATAAATTAGAGTAACATGTGTCTATTTGCTCTCATTCTAGCTTACTGCACTGATTCACACCAGTGCAGGAACAGAAAACAAGCCTGTTATTGCAAGTTCGTGAATCAAAATTTTGCCACTTGTAACGCTGCCGTCGCATAAACGGATTAAGGATTCGCTCATGAGTTTACCGATCTTGATCTCGCTGGCTCGTAGATACAGCGTACGACCGTTGTTATCTGGGGGTCGAATTCTGGAACTTACGAAAATTACTAGCGACCTACTGCGTTGAGTTACACCAGTTATGCGGGGTCTACAATGCGACTCTCATTGTAGACCCCGCATAAGTGAACAAAGTCAAAAATTTCCCAATTAGGTCAAGTAAAAACGTTCACGCCGCTCGGCATTCTAAGCGAGAGAGCCGTGGCACACAAACGGCTTTAAGCAATAAGACGTAAGCAGTAAACGAGTTGACCAATGGCTGCCATAATTCTCAATTATGATTGGTCCGTTGACAGCGCTTCCAGCGATTCTTATCGGAACGAATATTTCTCAAAAATGTCGGCCCACTCTGATTACGGGAGTTCGGTCCCCCTGATACAGGCTTCATGGCGGATACAATGGGAGGAAGCGCGCGAATTCCATGTCCTCCGCCGCGACGAATAGAGGAACGAACCTCTTTGTCGCCTCGTCTCCCGCGTGACGGGCTTCGGGACGACTTCCCCCCGGCTGGCGGACTCAACTTGACTCGATCCGCACCGCGATTTGTTTCACTCCTCCCGCGTGTTTGGCTCTCTATCTTATATCACTTCTGATGGCGGGGCCGCGGCACGATATGAAGATTAAGCGCGCGCGTCGGCGCGGGACAGAAGGGCGAGTTACTTCTATAGCAAATTTTTCACCCGCGGCAATTCAATTTCGCCGCGTGGCACGTCCCCGGCGAACGCTACGTGACCTTACGTTTGCGATATCAGGACGGTTGACATTTGCTACGATGCGTTCTATCATCGTTGCCGCGCGCGGCTTTCGCACATTCTCCCGTTCACCGTCGCGAGCAGAGCAAATCCGCGCACGGCCACGCCGACAGCCGGCGCGCGCGCGCGCTGCGTTTAAGCGAGTGGGTTTTGGGTGTTTTTTTTTTTTTAATTTGAGCTCTCGCGTCGATGGGATTCGTCCGTAAACCACGAGATCGGAATTTTTAGTGCCGTACGAGAAGCTAACGGAAGAGTCAAACGATCATAAAAACGGCTCTTCGGTATTCCAAACGCGGCTGGTCGGCGCAGTTGAAATCCCATTATGGGATAAGTACCATCGACACGCCATCAAATGCGTGCGAATTTAATCCGCGTAGCCCGTTCGTGTTTACGCCCGCCCGTTTCATTACCTTGTATTTGCGAATGCTTATGTTGCGAACGCTGCAGGAGAAGACGACCTCGCGACCAATCGCGGCGGTCTGATTCCCAACTGGCGTTACGAAAAGCGGGCCCGTGGCACTGCTCGTCGAGTCTGAAACATTCATTTTGACTGACTTGTAACAAACGAAAGACCTCGATTTGGTTTAACGAGAGGGAACTGGGTCATCTCTCGCCGCGAGTTCTCTCTCTCTCTCTCTCTCTCTCTCTCTCTCTCCCTCTAAATTATATTCAAAAGACTACGAAATGTATTTTCACCCCGTGTATATAATTACATACAATATACACGGTTACACGAGATAACCGAGATAACTTTATGCCCGCGATCGACAATGAGTAATAATTTAACGTCGTCCCCCTACTTTTGCCTCGCCCACCGCGCGCCGGCGAGAGATTAATGGAAAAATATTGGAGGGTGAAAATTTTATCGTTACCCTATTCATTACGGGCGACAGTGAAATCTCTTTTGAAAATATTTCGACCGGCCACGCCGCCGCCGCCGCCGTCGCCGCCGTCGCCGTCGACGGCGGTAATGTGTAAGTGCACGTTGTCAAGTGTCCCAAAGTTTCTTAAGCACTATCGCGAGGGTAGCTAATTATCGCCGCTTATTCACACGCCTGTTGGTGGATTACGACATCCCTAAACAGATAATGTCAAGTGGTCCAAAGTTGCGGCAAACTTAGGGACGCCTCGGCGCCGCGACGCGCCGACGAACTTCGGGCGGTTCGGCACCCCCGTACGTGAAATTCTTGCTCGCGATACAGCGTGGGCTTCGACCTTTTTATCTGACGCCGTTCTACGTGACGCGGCACGAATACTCGATAAATAAGCACCCCGCGCGCGCCTTTTGTGCGCGCGCGTGCAGGAGAAGTAGATATCCATCTTTTAACAAAAGTATTACGACCGTACTCTATCATCTCCCGACTCGCCTTGTCACGGCTCTAACGCGCGAGATATAGCGCGCGCGGAGATATAACTCGGAATCAAAGAGAAAGGAGGCGACTGAGGCGAGCGGGAGAGGCGGGCGCCGTTCGAATTTAATTATTTTTTTCCCCGCGCGAACGATCGTCTTTATTTCGCTTTATCAACCGACTGTCCTGGGCCCTTTCTCTCCTCCTCTCTCTCCCTCTCCCCCCCTCGCTTTCGCAGTTTCCGTGCATTTTGCATCGCTACTTCCACTCGACCAACAGAAACTACCCCCGACGTAGGCAATATCCAAATTGCCTCCACGGATTTAACGTTTCCGAGGTGGCACCGCGGGACAAATCGCCGGGGAAATGAAACGAGCTGCCAGATTAGACAGTAGCTGCGGCATCCCTGTCGTCGTAAAAAGAGGAAAAAAAGGAAGACGGTCGCGCCACGCCACACCGGTGCGGAAACTCGCGCTCTTTTGTGAACCGAGCGAACGACCCGAATTCTCGGCAGGACGCGGATGGATGTACCAGTCGGGAGAAGACGGAGGGGGGGGGGGGGGGGGGGGAAGGAGAGGAAAGCGCCGAATTTCTCGCCGTTCGCGTTATCTTAAAATATCTTTGCGTGTCCTGTAACGCGGCAACGCGATTCAATTTTGGTTATCGTGGAAAACGGCGTTCCCGCGATGGTATAGTTTTATTTATTTCGCGCCCGGAAACATATTTTTCCCCAAGAACAAAAGTGTATCGTGCGAGAAAAATGTTACGTAACGGAGAACGGCGTGAGAAGGGCGATGATACGTGACTGGGTTGGACCGGCGAGTTGTAGGGCGAGGGGGGGGGGGGGGGGGGGGGAGAAAAAACTGTAGAGTACAATAAACATCTAGATTAAAGCGAATTAACATTAATCAAGTGAATTAGTTATTAAAGTTAGCTCGGCGAACCCCCCGTCGCCCAATATTTAACAAACGTAATATGTCGAGGGAGACTTTTAATGGTAGCGGGCAACGTCCGCATATTTACGCTCCAGTTTCGTTCCTCGAAACGGACGTGGATATATCACCTCCCGCGGCGAGTTTGAAAATTAAAGTGTACCCTCGCCCTATTCGAGGCAATCAGCGGCCAGACGTTCTTTGCATTTTTATAGCGCGCAACTTACTTGGCACCGGGACCCGCGCCGGCCCGACCCGCTGATCCTCGCGCGATCGCGCGAGGACGCGCAAATCCGAGAAATTCGCGGTGCGAGCACCCTCGACCGGGCCGCACGCATTCCGCGAAATTGGCGCGAACGCGCGGAAATGAAACGCGCTTATCGCCGCGTCCTATCGCGTTAACAGCGTTAACTTTTGATAGCTCGTCGGCGTCCGCGCGCGCGGTGACTCTCGAATAATAACAGACCCGTCCCCGCTACATCACGCGCTTTTCGCTAACGCCGATAACCAAGAGGGAAAATAATCAATCATCCTCGACATTTTGCAATTCTCCGGCGTTCTCCCTCGCCCTCCTTCACCTCCCTCGCTCTCTCTCTCTCTCTCGTTCTCTCGCGCTTTCTCTCGCTTTCTCTACCTCTCGTTTCCCTTCTTACATCATTTCTTACCTCGAGTATCTCAAAATGGAGTCAAGGCAGGGAATCAATACGGTCGTCGCGTACCGCAATCATTTTCTCGCCTCAAACGAACGCCGGCGGAAAAGTCGGTGGAAATCAAATTCCAGGCACGGCACGTATCTCGATAAATACATATTGATACGAGAAGATTACCGAGGGCCGTGCGAGTCTGGGCGGGATTTTTGACACGTGCTCTTTCTACGCGGCCGATTTCTGCCCGCGCCGCGAAAGGAAACGCTCCTTCAGCGATCTCTTGTTTCCCATCCGCGATCGATTTGCTCGTATCGCGAGGAGAGGCCGCGCGGTACGTTCCGCTGGAAATCACGGGCTTATAAATCTGGGACGTATCGCACGAGTGTCTTCGCGGTGCACGGGACATGAAAGTACAAGTGCCGTCTTAAGGCCTGCGTCCACGATGCCTGGGACTTGGTCCAACTTCTAGTTTCTCGAGAGAATGTGGAGCCAATCAACTTGCAGCTTTTATGGCATAGCCGCAAGTTGATTGGACCAAGTTCCAGCATAGTGGACACAGGCTCTTATACACGGAGGGAATTTTTTCTTAAAATCTATCCTGAAAATCACGTGGGTCAACGTGGCATTGCAAAGAATCTTTTGTGGGAGTCTTTTGACATTTTATCATACATTCTAGTAATAATTATACTTTGTATACATTTTGCTAACAGAATGTATGATAAAATTTCAAAAAAAAGACTCATATGGTTCTTCAACATGTTCCACGATGACACGATTTTCAGGGTAAATTTTACTTGGCCCAAGTTTTAGTATTGCGGACACAGGCCTTTATACACGGAGAGAATTTTTTCTAAAAATTCATCCTGAAAATCACGCGATCGTGGGTCAACGTGACACTGCAAAGAATCTCGTGACAGTCTTTTGAAATTTTATCATACATTCTAGTAATAATTATACTTTGTATGCATTTTACTAATAAGAATGTATGGAAAAATTTCAAAAGCTCCCCCATATGGCTCTTCAAAATGCCCCACGATGACCCGATTTTCAGGGTAAATTTGAAGAGAAAATTCTCTCCGTGCAGCGGCCGATTGTGGAAAATCGCGAGGCACGTTTTCGCTTCGTGCCCGACCAGCGTGGGTTGCGTTTGGCCGAAGCTCGGCGATAAAAAGTTAGCGCGCCTACTCGAGACATAAATGAAAACGATTAGGAAGTTAGAGGGGCGAAAAGGGGCCCCGCTGAAGTCGAGAAGAATAGCGCCGTCCGCTGTAAATCGCCGCGAGGAACGCGGGACGATTCAGCTCGTGTAACGCGTAGCGGAAGTTATTATTAAACGTCGCACAGTGATTTCCGAGCTAATGAAGGGCGCAAGAACTATAAATCTCTCGCGTGTATTCGATGTACATGTATGTGCATGTTCAAGTGCGCGTATAAACTTCTCATGAAACTTCAGACATCTCAGGAATATTCCAATCTCCGAGTACACCGCGCAGGCAGACGGCTCTAAATATGAAATTCTCTTAAGCGAGACCGGCACGCGAAGGGATCCTCCTCCGTCTCAACGTACGTATACGTACGCGGGGGCGCGCACACGTATTCGTATTTGTATAAATATATATGCATACGTGCATATATATTGTACATATATAGATATGTACGTATACATGTAACAAATTTTTACTTTCGCTCGTGTATGCTACGTGCACGGGCACGTATAGAGTGGTCTGTTATTGGTGACGCAGTCGGATGCATCTGCGTACGAAAAAATGGGCAGATTTAAATGTACGATGGAATTCTTTCGTACAAAGACACGTTTTCGAGAAGATTATGTCGGAAAGCGGGACAGTTAATAAAGTTCTTTCATTGTGATCCTTGACAGCGCGATGAATTTCGATCAACAGGGGAACATGTCATATTTTATTTAGAAGACACGAGTTAATCCTGGCGTCCGTGTAAATAGCCTAATGGACAGTTTCTCAATTATTTGTTCGCTACGGAGCGAACTTTGTACTTGATGTGCTGCTGTCATACATTGCCAATTCACGTCACAATCATTCTAGTTTAAAAAAGACAACTGAAGTTTATTTATTCTTTAACTTGTATAATAATAATCTTTTTTTTTTGGAAACTGGTCTTCACACACACTTTCCGTAAAATGTAACCTTACTGTTACGTTTCACGGAAAGTATGTGTGTGTGAAGGCTTTACGTGTAGAAGAATTATATTTGTACGCTTTTAACTTGTTTTCCCATGTCAGTCGTTCAAAAATTATCCATTTGTCGCTATAAAGAGGAAAATAGATAATCCGACATTTTGCATCGCGACTCCTTGGTCTCTGTATTCGAGCGTGTTAATGTTAATGCGTTCATCTGCCCGCCGAATAGAAACGCGAGTCACTTCGCGAATTATCTGGATATGAGCGATTTCGTGACGCGCAGCTACAGCTGGCGATGGGATACCCGTGAGCGATGATACTAACAATTGATAAGCATACTCCGAGTTCCTGAACAACCTGATATATCGATGTACAAGCGATATATAAGCGGATTGGAGCGCGGATGACGCGCGCGCGAGAACAGTTCGATGGAACTTGGATGGGACTTC